CGGCGGGAGCGCCACCGCGCTCCCAAGCGGCGCACTGTAGCAGTGCGCCACCGGGCCGGCCCTGAACCCCACAAATCTAAGCAGCATACTCGTAAGCTCAGCCCAATTGTATGTTTCCAAATCATATGTAAAATAGATTAAAACAGACATCTAGTAGTCTGATGTAGGAGATTTTCTTAAAACCCAAATGAATAATAGTGCTAGTGTTGTAACCTTGAGAAAATTATCCACTTTGAGCCTTAATTTCCTCATTTATAAAATGTGAGAAAATTATTGTACGTACTTATGTCCTGAGATATAAATACTCTATGTGAAAGTGCATTCTTAATAAGCCTTCTTTGGGTATACTAATTTCTGTCTTGCATGTGTTATTTCTCTTTTGGGAACCCAACTTTATTTTGATCAGTATGCCAATAAACTGGTTTGACCCAGTATTATTTTCATATCCTCCAACAGTTCACAGAGGTGTGATGAACTGGCAGAATTTTCTCTTATACTTGATAGCACAAACATAGCTGCTGAAATGGTTCTTAGGGAAATGAAGTTAGAGTCCACCAGCGGTCTGGCTAACCACCAGGTCACTTGGAAGCTGGGGAAAGAAAGCTTTTTCCAGAACCCACTGGGCTGCTTGTCTCACAGGGTAAGACGAAGTATGCAGGGGAAGGTTTCTAACTTTTGGCCATGGATCTAGAACCATACTGGAAATAAGAGGAAGGATTCCAATTAACGTGACAAATCTGTGCATATCTCTAGTGAAACAATCCTGCTGAAAATTTTGTCTTTTGTGTTTCTTTCTTTATTATTATTATTTATTTTATTTTTTGCACTAGACCCACCTCAGAAAGCAGCTGATTCATGAATTGATGCACCCTGCATTGTGTGGAGAACTACAACCTCAGTCCCTTTCAGTGGAAGGGAGCACCCTCTTAATAGGTGCCTCTAACTCTCTAGTGGCAGATCACTTACAAAGATGTGGCTATGAATATTCACTTTCTGTTTTCTTTCCGGAAAGTGGTTTGGAAAAAGAAAAGGTAAAGAAAGTCTTTTTCTGTTTTTGATGTTTCTGTTAAGTTTCTTTCTCTGATGATTGTAAAGTGCTGCATAATAGATAAGTGCTGTTTAGCTAGGTCCATTTCTCATTCATCTTTAAATTCATGTCACGCCTGCACACAATATATTTGTTATATAACAAATGAGTAGTAAACTCCTTGGTATCTCACTTCTTTTGTAAAACAGTAATATATAGAATCACCAAATAATTTAGAGCTACAATTGATCTTACATTTCATGTAGTCTAACAGGATGTGTAACTACCATTTCTGCTCAATGTCTGCTGTGAGTTTGGCACTGTGCTACGCACACTGCAGGTGTTACGTGTGTTACAGATAGGAACTACACTCTGGAGAGGTGAAGTGACTTGGCCAAGGTCATGTAACTTGTAAGTGGCAATGCAGGACAGTTAATCTAGATCTCTAAAGTTTGCTCTTTTTATTATGCCACAGTCTTTTCAGATATTTCTCCTCTTTGTAATAACATAGAGAAGTGAGAAATATGTAACTTTAAGATATATGTAAAGTTCTCAAATATTACAACACATTTTATGTTTTACTACTTCTCTAATTATTTTAACTATATTTCTTCACCATCACTGTTGAACACATTAGTCACACTTTATTATTTTAAAGGCAGTATGGCAAACTTTCCATATGTGTGTTTTTTTAATAGACTTTATTTTTTCAGAGCAGTTTTAGGTTCACAACAAAATTAAGTGGAAAATACAAAGAGTTATCATATCCTGCCCTCCCACTGCTGCGACAGCTTTCTCCACTATCAACATCCCATACCGGAGTGGTACATTTGCTACAGTCAATGAACTAACATTGATAGATCATTATCACCCAAAGTCCGTAGTTTACATTACAGTTCACTCTTGGTGTTGTCTCTATGTCTTTACTCTGTTTTGTCTATAGTTGTTCACAAGTTTCATATTTCAAAGTTTTAAGGAAACAAGAACATTAGTATTTGAATGAATACTTGAAATTTAAATATACTTTATTTCTTCATTAACAACCAAATTTTATTTATCAACATTAGGAATTCATTTTTGCTCCATCATTCTCCAACTTTCTAATTATGCATATCACAATTTTGCTTATTGTGAAAGTAGTGGTCAATTATATAATTATTATAGGAGTAATTAATCTAGTTCATACACTTAATGATTTCTACTAATATAAAATGCCATGCAGAATATTTTTTTAAAGAAAAATCAATTGAAAACAAATTATATCAGTGTTCTCAGAGTAGAAATAGTAAATGATGCATACTCTAGTAGAATTATATCTTAAGCGTAGCTACCCAAAATGTCTGTTTAAAAATATTTTAGGTGTACCTTAGTCATTCATAGTTGTAAGGACAGTAAAAATTTAGGTTTTTTTAGCAGCTGGCTGGTATGGAGATCTGAATCCTTGACCTTGGTGTTATCAGTGCCAATCTCTAACCTTATTTACATTTTTATTTATTTATTTTTTTAGAAGATGACTAGTAAGGGGATCTTAACCCTTGACTTGGTGTTGTCAGCACCACGATCTCCCAAGTGAGCAAACCGGCCATCCCTATATAGGGATCCGAACCCATGGCCTTGGTGTTATCAGCACCACACTCTCCCAAGGGAGCCATAGGCTGGCCCCTCTTATTTACATTTTTAAACAGTGAGTACTTTAAAAAAGTAATTGTAATTGAAAGACCCTAGAACTCACTCATATATTCATTGGTTCATCAGATATTTGAGTGTCATCTGTAAGGCATTACCATTTCTGTCATTTCTGTCAGGCATATTATCTTTGATGTGAAATATTTGGAGGTTAATTACATGATTAAGAAATGTATTTTATCCTTTCGACCTCAATATGTTTATCATAATGTATCTAACAGTATAAGGAAGAGCTTCAACTTTGCATTATTAGCATAGTTATAATCTTATTTAATCTGAAACATGATTCTTAATGTCATATTTAGAAACATCCCCTAATTTATCATTTAAACATTGATATAAAAATATGTCTACCTAATTATATCTTTTTTTCTTAAGGTATTTACTATGCAGGATCTATTACCACTCATTAAAATCAACCCTTCATCCAGTCTCTACAAATCACTGGTAGGATTATTTAGTTTTCATAACCTGCTTTGGTTTGTTAATTATAACTGAATAGTTGAATAAAGGTGAAATATTTTCTTTTAACAGATTTCAGGATTTGGCAAAGAAAACCAAAAAGGTAGGAACCTTTACCTTTGTAAAGAATAACAACATTTTTGGGTGTGCTTTTTCGTATAAAAGTATGAAGCTAATAATTTTTAGGTGGAAGAGAAGGAAATTTATTTTGAATTAAATAATTTGATTTTCCTTGCTAACCATACCTTACCTTTTTAAAAAAATTTATTTTATTTATTTTTTACCTTACCTTTTTAAATAAACAACAGTTCATCTGTCATTCTGACAAATGCAGGTCATTTTCCTCATATTTCAATCTTTTTAATAAGTTAGATACTCAAATAAGAAAACTACAGACAGTGTCAAGAGCCCTACGAACAGATTGAAAGATATTCTTTGTAAAAATATCCACAATTTGGAACATTTCACAAAAAAACTAACAACATTTAGGCCAAGTATCTTTGTATCCTAGGTATCTCCTTCAAGTATAATTTATAGAGTATTAAATGTATTAGTATTTGCTTAAAGAATGAAATATCTGTTCAGTAATGTGTTATATATATTTTTTATTCTTAAGTGTTTATACAGACCTGATTAATTGCCTGAATTTTGGCCTCAATAATCACCTTTCATAGAGTCCATAACTACCATGGTTGCCAGACTGTGGGTTAGATTTGATGATGGGCTTTGTAGCATGAACATAAATAAGCTGGCAACTTGTCTTTGATGCACAGTTATTCTTAGGTCTCTTTAAATAATCTGTGACATTATATAATGGTCCTTTTGTGTTGGTGCGCTCTTGCATCTTGTCTGTTGCCAGCACTGCTGCCATCTGTATAGGACATGTATGCGTTCATTCATTCAGAACTAATTCAGCAAACATTCGAGTACCTACTTTCTGCCAGCTATTAGTTTGTGACTTAATTTGCAGGTCTCTTGGGAGTAATGTTAGTAGAGGATAAGTAAATTGGATCACAAGACATTCTGGGATGCCTGCAAAATAGATTATCCCTACTGAAATTCAGTATGGTAAATGGTTCTGTATTCTGTACCCTAAAGTAATGCTGTCCAATATAACTGTGATGATGGAAATGTCTATATCTGTGTTGTCTAAGGTGGTAGTCACTAGCCTCATGTAGCCATTGAGCACTTGAAATGTGGCTAGTGTAACTGAAGAACTGAATTTTTAGTTTAGTCTGAATTTAATTAGCCACATGGGAATAGTGGCTACCATATTGGACAGCACAGGTCTCAAGTAGATAGCTAGTATCTGCTGCTTAACTATTATTTCAGAAGGAAATTTAGGTTTAGGGCTCAAAGGGATATTAAGCAATATTCTACTTATTATAAGTAAATTATCCTTAAAAATAGTATTTTACCTTTAAACGTTTTAAGTCTTTTTTAAATGTTTCTGGTTCAGAAAGACATCTGTCTAACAGCCCTTACCATCTTTACCTAGCATTCCAGTAAAATTTCTGGAAGTTAGAAAAACTATAAGTAGCCGATTTGTCAGGCATCCAAGTGCCAAAATTTGGGTAGTACCCTTTGCTAACAATAAGACAGCTAAAGTTAAAGTGATCTTAAAAATTGATGGCTTCCAACTAAGAGATTAAGACCATCAGAAAACATGTAGGAAGTTATTTTGTCCCTAACTGTTGTCTGTCCCCTGACTGGAGACCTATGGTCTTATCTAACTATGTTTACACTCTGGGAGTGCTGAGCTGTTGAATGTTCTTTTCACCTAGATTCTATTCACCCATTCTTCCCACCCCTAATTTTTCCTTTCAGAGACAATGATACCCAGAAAATGATGGGCAGAAAATTTGAATGAGGGTAGAAAATTTGGACGTTGGCCTTTTGTTTTCTGGAATTTAAAATCCTTACCTGTGATTGACAAAAGAATAGACACATAAATCAGTGGAACAGAATTAGAGAGTCCAGAAGTTGATCCTCACAAATATAGTCAACTGATTTTTTTACAAAGGTGCAAAGGCATTTCAGTCTTTCAGGAATGAGCTACCAAGCTATGCAGAAATATAAATGAATCTTAAATGCATATTGTTCTTGAAAGAAACCGGTCTGAAAAGGCTACATCTTATATGATTCCATTTGCATGACATTCTGGAAAAGGCAAAACTATAGAGATGATAAACAGATCAGTGGTTGCCAGGGATTTGGTGAGAAGGGATGGGGAGGTTGAGTAGGTGAAACACGGGATCGTTTAATCATTTAGGGTGGTGAAAGTATTCTGTATGATACTGTAATAGTGGATATGTGACATTATGCATTCGTCAAAATGTACAGAACTTTACAGTTCAAAGAGTGAAAATGTATGCAAGTTTAGGAGGCCAGCTGATCCCAGGATGGAATGCAGACTGACAAAATGATCTAACTGTAATCCACTCACTGCGAGTGGATGGGGAGAAAGGTGCTGAGCTAACCAACTTTGAAAATGAGTAGAAACTGTAAGACTAAAGGCAAAAGGAACTGTACATAACCACTGAGCTCCAGGTGATAGTTATTTCCTATGGGGGGACTGGTTAACAATTCTGAAGCCACTGTACGTGTATGTATACTGGAATTAAACACTTAAGTCAATGGGTAGTGGATGCTGGGAGCCAGGTTTCTCACTGTTGCAGTGGGAATTTATAGATAAGCAAGGGGAAGAGGCTAGAATGATCCATGTGGTAATGTATTAGTTGGAGACATCAGTGTGAACTCATGTTCAGCTTAATATAGATAATAGACGCTATATATAGAAATATTTATAGATATGTATGTACACAGGCAAGTATACACGCATATATTTCCTGGCTCTGTCAGCTGAGAGGACCTAGAAGCAATGATACTCCAGTAGCAATGTACACCCCTCGTGCTGAATTTGGGGCACTAAGTTTTGGTATCTAGAACCATTCTTTAATAAAAGGAACCTGGGCTCCTTGAAGAAATAGCTGATTCTAGAACTGGAGCACAGAATATACAAGATGAATCTGGAGCATCTTACAGTGCCAGAACAAAAGGAAGTGCTTTTAAAAAAAATTCACAATGAAAGAGCTCCCAAAAGCCAAAGCTGGAACAATTTGTGCAACAAAATAAAATATTGGATTATATAAATAGAAGTATGGCTTATAACTGTAAGTATAAAATATTTGTGAGTTCGTATTGATAAAAACAAATGATTGACTAAATAAGTGAGTAGACTAGGCAAGTCCTTCTTAGAGGGTGGGGGTAGATATGAGTGTGTGCTGGGAGGTGATGGAGGAGGAGTGGAAATAATTAGGGCCTGTGAAAAGTACTGCAGAACTGAGAAAAGGTAACAACCTTGGAAATACTTAGGCGGAAGAGCACATGTCTGAAAATTATCTACTGCAGGATCTTGAAAATTTATGCAAAATATTTATCCTTTTCTATACAAGGAGATAAGACATGGCCTTGGCATAACAGCAGCAGAGAGGTATAAGGAGAGAACAGGCTGACTTGAAAAGGTCAAGGAGAGAAGATGGGTGGGTGAGACAAAGAATTGCAAGAAATGAAAATGAAAGAACAGATTTTATACGTCCATGAGGAGAAGTAAAAATCTTGATGGGATGAAAAATTGAATAAGGGATTTTAGCAGCAACTTGAGAAGCTCTTCCAACATGTAGAAGGAAAGGATAAAGGCATAAAAATAACATGAGAAGAGACATAAAGAACAAGATCTAACATCTGGGTGATTGTTCCTAAAAGCAACCAGTACAAATAGAGTGGATATACTAATCAAGTATTTTTTTTAATGGAAGAGAGCTTTCCTAAGCCAAAGAAAGATATATATTTGTGGATTAGAAGGGGGTACGTTTGGTTTAGGGAAAAATCAGTGAACATAGATATGTTCTTAAACTTTTGTGTTAATAAGAGAAAAAAAATGTGAAAGTCCTAAGCTATTATGGAAGGAAAAAACAGTTATCTTTAATGAAACATGTACCAGACTGGCCTTGAATTTTGGAGGGGAAATCATTATGATTAAGAATTTTATACCAAGGCAATTTGGCTTTTACACGCACTGGTTCCTGATATGTCATCGAGTAGCTCATATGTGATTGATGAATAGGGAAAGGATGTCTGCATAAAGGGAAGTTGTAAGGTTTATATGTGATTCTGCCTATGCAGGGGAAGCTAAAGTCAGGAGTAGAATTTCAGCAGAGAAGAAAAAAGGTCTTTATCTTGGCTAATGCAGAAGCAGTTCTTTCAAATATGTTTCTAGAAAGTAAAAATTTCCAAAATAATTTATGCTCATAGTTTAAAAAAAAAAGTTTTAATCTATTCAGAAGGGTATAAAGTGAAAGAAAAGTAGCAGTTTCTGCCTATGTTCTCTAATCTCACTCTCCACTGATAACCTGAATTAATAGTTCCTTGTTTATCCTTCCAGAATTTTGTTTATGAGTGTAAAAATCTGTGTATTTGTAAAGTACACACACAATCATAAATGGGATCGTATTGTACTGTTTTGCAATTTGCTATTTTTAATCCACCAATATATCTTTCTATGGCAATATATTTAAACTATTTTTAAAGAATGTATTTAACCCCTTGTTGATGGAGATTTAGTTGTTTTATTGTTTGTTTTTTGCCATTAGAAGCAATCAGTTTGCAGTGTGCACCCTTTGTGCCCTTGTGAAAGTATAGCTGTGTGAATTCACAGAAGTGGAAAGACAGGTTCAAGGGCATTTGTATATACATAAGCACTAACAAATCTCCCTCCCAACTGAATGAGCATGCGTATATCCCCACTCCCTTTCTAACACTTAGTATTATCAAAGTTTTAATTTTAGCAGTGTTATAGGGAAAATATGGTCTCTCTGTTGTAGTATTAATTTATTTATGATTTTGTTCATGTTTATTCAACATTTAAAAATTTTGTTCATGTTTGACATTTTTTTCTGTGAACTGTTAGTCAATGTCTTTCCCCATTTTTTTGTCTTCTTTTACCGCTTTGTAAGAGCTCTTTGATATAATGAAAATTATTCCTCTCTCTGCATATTACAAGTATTGCTGATATTTTTTCCAGTGTATCATTTGCCTTTTGACTTTATTTCATGCTATATATAAGTTTAAATTTTTTATGTAGTTAGATTGACAAATATTTCTCCTTATTCCTTTTTGTATCATGCTTGAAAAGACCTTTCCTCAGAAATTATTCTCAAAAGTAAAGCTAATAATGTAAAAAATGATAATGTTATAAAATCAAGATTGTATAAACAATGACTGAGCAATGCTTGAATGAAAGAAAGTTCTGAAACAAAACTATACATTGTGTTTTTTAGGTTTTCTTCTGCAGTTTTTAAGAGAATTGGCAGAATACCATCAGGCTAAAGAGAGTTGTGATGTGGAAACTCAGACAAGCTCAACATTTCCTAACAAAGACTCTCTTGGTAATTATAGCTTTCTTTCTTAATTTTAGTTCTGCTGTTTTCTTTTTGAATGAAGGAAATTACCTGGTTTACTGTATTGTGTGGTTATTCCTTGAACTGGAGGGATGCAACCTGCAGGCAGCAAGGGAATTCATTTCTTCTGGAATCATGTTGCTGGAAGGAAATTGCTCTCCAGTGTTGTTCCCTAGCCTCACGAATGCCAGTGCTACATTGGCCAATCACGCAGGGACCCAAAGGCCCACCTTCTTCCTTGTTTGTTGGGTTTAATCTCTCTTAAGAGGGAGGTTCTTCCTTGTGTCTCATCTAAGTTTATTTTACAGCCACTGAGTTACAAGATCGTGGACTGTTTGCTTTGCGAAGAACTGGAGAAGACAGTGGCCCATCACTTCATTTTGTGGTTGAGGAAAATGAGGTCCTCAGAGGAAGAGCAACTTGGGAACACCCAGTCTGGGTCACAACTAATATTAAAATCCAAGTTCTCTGGTCCATGATCTAGGGCCATTTACACTGTGTAGCTTTTCTATAATACCATCCTGCCCCTTAGTTTCGTGCTCAGTAGAGATGGGAACAGCTGTTTTAAATGACCTGTTTAGTCAATTTCTTGGCCATTCTTTACTCTTTTTTTTTCCTTGTCAGGTAATTTTGGTTTATTATTCTTTGTTTTTCTGTTTTTTTTTTAATTTAATTTAATTTAATTTTGTCAATATACAATGTGGTTGATTATTATGGCCCATTACTGAAACCTCTCTCCATCTCCCCCCTCCCCCCCAACAATGTCCTTTCTGTATGCTTGTCATATCAACTTCAAGAAACTGCAATTGTTATATCTTCTTCCCCCCCTGACTTTTTGTGTGTGTGTGTGTGAATTTATTTATTTATTTTTTAGCTCCCACCAATAAGTGAGAACATGTGGTATTTCTCTTTCTGTGCCTGACTTGTTTCACTTAATATAATTCTCTCTAAGTCCATCCATGTCATTGCAAATGGCAGTATTTCATTCTTTATAGCTGAGTAGTATTCCATTGTGTAGATATACCATATTTTCCGTATCCACTCATCCGATGATGGACATTTGGGCTGGTTCCAACTCTTGGCTATTGTAAAGAGTGCTGCGATGAACATTGGGGAACAGGTATACCTTCGACTTGATGATTTCCATTCCTCTGGGTATATTCCCAGCAGTGGGATA